ATCCTTAACTTGCTAAAACAGCTTGATTTGGTTTTTGTCTAACTTTTCGGTTTAGGAAAAATTCGCCTCAATTATCAAGGTTTTTTTGACTGGTTTCTTCTCTAGAGGTCATTAAATGGTATTACTCAAACAATGAGGTCAATCGTAACAAAAAATTTGCGCACGAAATCGCGCTCCAAAATGAAATGGTCGGACTCGTCCAGTTTCTCGACGACTAGGGACCTCATTTAGATATGCCTTCCATCAAGTTGCAGCGAGATGATCGGTGTCCTTCTAGCCACATAAAAAGCCCCTTGGTTGACAACAGCTAGTCGGATGTTAGTCGGTATCAATCAGACCTGTCATAGCCTATGTCGCTCCAAATGCTGATGAGCGTGACACTTACAGCCGCGCCGTTGCCAACAGGCGTTTGACTGAGAGCTGTTTGCCTTGCATGTCCAGCACATCTGCTGCCAGATTGGCCTCAACCAATCTGGACTGCGTCTTACTTGAGCATAGCGTTATGCCACATCCGTCGAACCTTCAGTTGTTTTTGTCCAAAGTAGATTTCACCCACTTGACTTTTCGTTTTTGGGCCTTGGTGTAGATATTGATGCCATCCACATTCATCAAGATTGGGTAAGGGTCATAGACATCCATTTATTGTCGATCTTTCCTAATTAGCCTTGGTGGACCTGTTGTGAGCAACGACCTCACCTCTCTGGAAACGTCTTCACCGCATGGAACACGGGCCTCATCGCACAGATTTCCAGATGAACCGAGGTGATCTTTGAAGGTTCACCAACTTTTTATTTACTTATTTTTAGTTTCAGGCTCTATGACACTTCCTTTTCTTTTATTTCCGCAGTCTTATCTAGGGTATCAGTTCTGTGTAATCTAGTTCTGACCTCGCCCATTGCCCACTTTCTTTGGTTGCCAGATCTTATTGAACCTTTTACAAAGCCTTCTAAGCCGCCAGGCCATAAAACATTTTGAGCTAGTTTAAGACGACTGCTTGACTCTGCTTCATTCCGTAGACACGCTCGACTGGATTTCACTCGCGATAACGCTTCTTCGTACCAACTCGTTTTTCACAGATACTACCGCGTACAAAACTGGGTTCAGTCTGACTTAAAGTGCCCCTCAAATTTACGGAAGAAACCTCGCAGGCCTTACTTCAAGATGAGACCGTGCTCAATGATGAGTCCTCTCACATAGTCCTCATCAGTAGCGTAAGTCATCTGGCGTAGGTACACAATCCGCTCATTAGTGAACTAAGTGACCAGCATAGTCTTCAGCTCCTCGCTTCACACCCGTCCATGAACTTCGATGCAATAGTCAGACTCCTATCTCAAAGTTTTTTGTCAGTATTATTTATGGTTCCCAGTAGTTCGAGGTCGTCCATAAACATGTCGATGAACTCGTCGTCTCTTTGGCGCCTTTTCTCGAACTCCACCATTGCCTGATGTCCAGATGTCTATGTACTCCGGAGCACAATTGATCCTGTGAAATCTCAAAAACCTTCTGAGTCCTGTCACATTCAATCGCCTTCTTCGCTTTGACACAATTTATCCCCGTGGCCTCTAGATCAATTGTCAGCTTGCTGCACTCTTGTTTCTTCGATATATTTTCCTCTTCGAAGTTGAGCTTCATCACTTCTAAATAGGTGTCATGGCAGCCGTCCGACTCGTTCGTACATGTTTTTGGCTTTTTAGCGTTCACCGTGATCGGTCTCCATTTTCATTGGACTTCGAATATATATCAATAGTCAATTAGTTCCCAAAACTTAAGGAGTGCAATTTCGCTTAGGACGTAAAACCGGCATGAGAGTAGGTAAAAATTGATACTCTTCTCAAGTGATGTTTTGAACCTAATGCACCCACTGAGGTCTTCTTCGATGTATTCCCGGATTGCCCGAGCTGTCCAACTAATTAGCTCAAGGCAACCACCCAACCAAAATAACAATCGTAAAAATGTTCGGGCTCTTTGATAAGCCCGATCTAGAAACCAAAGTTGATCCCGAATTTTCAAAACAAATAGTCTTTGAATCATAAAAACACATGTTCCTAAAGCAGTTAACTATCTTTTCTTATTCTCAAAGGTTTTGGGTATACCTAAGTTACTTCGGAGGGTTCCTTTAGATTTCAATAAGAAGGGTTGTTAGGGGTTTAAATTTTTCGAGTCTTTTTTGGAGGGTACCTAAGACACTTAAGTTACTTTGGAGTGTTCCTCAATTTTTTGCCAGAGAGAGTTATTAGGGGGCATATTTCACTCCGGATGGGGTTTCGTGAGATTGCCTTAAATTTCAAAAACTTAAACCTTTTGCCTCAAGAGGTTTGGTGGGTTTCAAAACGACTTGAAGCAAGTTTACTTTTTTTCGGAGGGTTCCATTCAACTGCTTCGCAAGGTTTACTAAAAATTTTTTAACAAGGATGGTTGTTAAGGGGCTTAAATCACTCCGGTGGGTTGCTTCGGAGGGTTATCGGTCAAGGTTCCACAAAAATAGGTGTTTTTGACAAGCAAAAGCGTCCAATTACGATATAATTTGCTGCAAACAAGGTTAGTTAAAACGGTCAAGGCTCCTTGTCAGCTAAAATTAAAATTTGGTGAAAAATTTTCCCAATCGGTTGGTGCCTCAAACTTGGACCCTCTAAACTGACAAACTTTAAAAACTGTTTTCCGATCCTATTAACCTAAAAACGGCTATGAATTTTTAAAAAATCAACAAAAACGTCGATATATGCTATCTCAGTTTATCTGATCAGTAGTCTCTGAGAATTAAACAGAAACGATTTTGCTAAAGTGGGCGTCTTTTCCTACCTATATAAGTTTTCAGTAATTTGTTTAAGTAATTCTTGTTGAAAGCGCTTTAAAAACTTGCAACTAGCGCAGTATTCCTCTACGGTATCATAATAAATCAAAAAAATGGATCAAAACTGGTTGTGAAACAAAAATCTGGTCAAAAAATCTCCAAGTTGTTTACTTTCCTAAATTAACCTCCCAATCGTTGTCTATAGATTATGTTAGTAAGCTTGTTGTTCAAAATTTTTTATCGCTTTATTTAAAAAACTTAAGCTTCGATTTGAAGACATCTTGACGAAGCTTCAAAAAATCACAAAAAAATTTGATCAAAAAAAGTACTTTCTCAACTTTTGATAACTCTTTTTCCGCGCGTTTCTCTTATTAGGGAGGTTGAACTTAGCTGTAGTTCAATGAGCAGACGCTTTTTCCGTTTGAAAAAGCTCGGCGATCTTACTATTACTAGTCGTTAATTAATTTTTCCATACCTTCTTTACACCAAAATATGCTTATTCAGAACCTTAACTTGAAAGTTCCCAGCCGATGGAGGTACAACTGCATCGGTCCAATTGTGTCCCCCACAACCTTAGTTTAATAAAATAGTACCTATATAGATACCAAACCAAAGGTAACTATATCCATTAGACTATGTTGATGTTGTCCAAGATGATTTTCGCCGTGAATGGTGCACGTCTGTGAGCTTATCGCTCCACCCTCCGGTCACCGGCGTAATAATCATTAACGTGCTTAAAGACTCAAACTCAACTCGAGGGAGGATACCTAACCAAAAATCAAAACGATCCAAACGCAGACCACACTATTTTCGAGTTTTTGATCGAGACTCATTCAAATCAATCTGAAACTACAACAAATAGAAAATCGAATCACATCTTGTCCGGAAACAAAATATAAATTTTTTTTTTTTGGATTTTTTTAAATTTTTTTCAGTTTTTGTTCTTTTTGATTTTAAAGTTATTTTTTAAATACTTTTCTCAGTCTGAAACAATAAAAAAACCAAAAAAGATTGAAAATAGGAACAAAAAACATAAAACACAAAAAGGAAAGTGGCTTTGACTTCCAAATTAGGTGGATCAAACCTTCATATTAATTAATATAGTATATCTATACTGTTTTCCAATAAGACCGATCGTCTCGATCAAACCAGCAACGTTTTACAGGTGCCCAAGTGTGGAGCGTTGTAAAGTTTTCGAATAGTTTTCTATATCAGCGGACCACTGGGCGACTTGGCTGGAAGAGATACCCAGCGAAATGAGAAAGTGGACAACAAGGAGGCTTCACCACTGGGAGATTTAACTGAAACAAACAGGTGACCAGCCCAGGGGGAAGGTGTGAACATCCGGCAGGTGACCAGTCAACAAAGCAGAACAGGGCAAACGGAAGAAAGTTGACAGAGGTTCTGTTTGGTCAAACGGGTATCGTTAAAATCCATTTTACATTTTAGGAAATAAGTGTAAAATTGAATAAGCGAATACCCACCGTTTTGAGTAAACGCGTTTACTTGAGCAGAGCTTGGAAACAGGTTCCACGGTTTTCTCTCGAGAGTTTTAGCACCAATCGCGCTTCGGGTAGTTTTCGGCATTAGTGGGGGGCTAAATAAGGGGGGGTAGAAGGGGGCTGGTTAAGATATAGTTTGATGGTTGAAAATTGTAAAAAGGGGGGACAAATTATGGTAACTATACAATCGATATTGTCGATTTAGTTACATTAGTAGACCAGAGTCTCAAACGATTCATCTTTTGTTTCAAAACAAGAGTTGTAACGCGAGGATATCCAAAATTTAAGATCGAATTAAGGTAGGTAACCTGGTGGGATCGGGTGGAGGGATCGGCAATAGAGAGTTTTTGGAACCCGAAAGAAGAATACCCCATAAGACCGTTTTTAGGGGGTAGGAAAAACGCGTGACAATCAGGTACCAGACATTTTTTTTAGAAAGTCGCCTTTGAATTTTGGGTGTACTCACCAGATTTTTTATATTTTTTTATTTTTCTCAGTCAAATTCTTTTATGTTTTTGGATCAATTTTAATTGGCTTTTAAAGAATTGGAAATCATAAGGAACTTGCTAACAAGTCGTACTTTGACATGCGTCGGATTAAAAAAGGGAAAGTGATTTCAGGGTGGTTAGCAGGTTAAATTTTGATTAACAAGATTGGGTTCTGGGGATTTTTTTAACACTAGAGCTCTAGAGGTGATACTGGGATAGTGGATCGGAATTTCCAATAATCGGAACAAGGTATTGGGAAGTCATCAATCAGACGAAGAAACACTTGAGCTACGAGGTTGGAAGAAAGTAATGAAAAAGAATATTTCAGTGAGCATGGTCAATACAAAAGGCGTAAAAGAACATAAGGTCAAGGAGAAAGCTATGGAAGAACCAACTGTGTCAGTTAGAGAAATCGATCTTGAGACACCAGATCAGAGTACTGACGGATTGGAAAGGAAAACCACGGAATCAACACCCATTCCAAATGCAGAAGAACAAGAAAAGAAAACGATAGAGTTCTCACCAATTGACATTGTGGACGATCCAACAAGCAACACGCCGGAAACGATAAAAAAGTATTCTCAAACAAAAGAACGTCGTTCACAGAGAGGATTGCAGCAATGGTCGGGATGAAACCAAAAGAGAAAGAGGACGGAATGCCGACGACAGAGAAATGCAAAACATTTGGAACAGTTTCCGCAACTACAACAAAGGCCAACCAAGACGAACAGCAGGTCATCGATGGAGCAACGGCTAACCAAGAAAAAACAATTTTGCTTGAGCTGGGCGACTTGATGCCAAAATTGGAGCAAATCGACAAGAAACTGAAATACAGCGAGAAGGACCGCCAAGAAATAAAAAGTGAGACACGACACAACTTAAGGCGAAGTGTCCTACGAGGGTTCAGAAAAGTCCTGGGACAGAACGAAGTGTCCCAACACTTGAGCGAAGGATCCTAGGAGGGTTAGGAAAAGGCCTAGGACAGTACGAAGTGTCCCAAAACTTAAGGCGAAGTGTTCAAGGAGGGTTCAGAAAAGCCCTGGGACAGTAACGAAGTGTCCCAACACTCAAGCGAAATCTCCTAGGAGGGTGTAGAGAAGTCCTGGGACAGTATGAAAAGTCCCAACACTTAAGGCGAAGTGTCCTAGGACGGCTCAGAGAAGTCTTGGGACAGTAGCGAATTGTCCCAACACTTGAGTGAAGGGTCCTAGGAGGGTTCGGAAACGGCCTAGTACAGTACGAAGTGTCCCAAAACATAAGGCGAAGTGTCCTAGGAGGGTTCAGAAAAGTCCTGGGACAGTAACGAAGTGTCTCAACACTCGAGCGAAGTCTCCTAGGAGGGTTCAGAGAAGTCCTGGGACAGTACGAAGTGTCCCAACACTTAAGGCGAAGTGTTCTAGGAGGGTTCAGAAAAGTCCTGGGAAAGTATTAAAGCATCCCAAAACTAGAACGAAGATTTAGAAGAAACCTTCGTTCTCAGCATCCCAAAAATAGAAATTGATTTAGATTCAAAACTGTTTTAGACTAAATTCGACTGTTTTTAGCGTTTAATACATTGAAAAAAAATTTATAATTGCAAAAGGAATTTTCAATAGGGACTTGTATATATTAAATTTGTAAAAAAAAAAGAAAATTGTGCATAAAAATCATGAAGCGAAATAGGATATCGATAACTGAAAAAAGACTGACAGGACTAAAGCAAAATCAAACGTCGTCGCAACGGAAAGCAACACTACCAAATCCGAAAGTAATGAAAAAGAATATTTCAGTGAGCATGGTCAATACAAAAGGCGTAAAAGAACATAAGGTCAAGGAGAAAGCTATGGAAGAACCAAGTGTGTCAGTTAGAGAAATCGATCTTGAGACACCAGATCAGAGTACTGACGGATTGGAAAGGAAAACCACGGAATCAACACCCATTCCAAATGCAGAAGAACAAGAAAAGAAAACGATAGAGTTCTCACCAATTGACATTGTGGACGATCCAACAAGCAACACGCCGGAAACGATAAAAAACTATTCTCAAACAAAAGAACGTCGTTCACAGAGAGGATTGCAGCAATGGTCGGGATGAAACCAAAAGAGAAAGAGGACGGAATGCCGACGACAGAGAAATGCAAAACATTTGGAACAGTTTCCGCAACTACAACAAAGGCCAACCAAGACGAACAGCAGGTCATCGATGGAGCAACGGCTAACCAAGAAAAAACAATTTTGCTTGAGCTGGGCGACTTGATGCCAAAATTGGAGCAAATCGACAAGAAACTGAAATACAGCGAGAAGGACCGCCAAGAAATAAAAAGTGAGACACGACACAACTTAAGGCGAAGTGTCCTACGAGGGTTCAGAAAAGTCCTGGGACAGAACGAAGTGTCCCAACACTTGAGCGAAGGGTCCTAGGAGGGTTAGGAAAAGGCCTAGGACAGTACGAAGTGTCCCAAAACTTAAGGCGAAGTGTTCAAGGAGGGTTCAGAAAAGCCCTGGGACAGTAACGAAGTGTCCCAACACTCAAGCGAAATCTCCTAGGAGGGTGTAGAGAAGTCCTGGGACACTACCATGTGTCCCAACACTTAAGGCGAAGTGTCCTAGGAGTGTTCAGAAAAATCCTGGGAAATTATTAAAGCATCCCAAAACTAGAACGAAGATTTAGATGAAACCTTCGTTCTCAGCATCCCAAAAGTAGAAATTGATTTAGATTCAAAACTGTTTTAGACTGAAATCGACTGTTTTTAGCTTTTAAGGCATTAAAAAAATATATAATTGCAATTGGAATTTACAATAGGGACTTGTAAATAATAAATTTGTAAATAAAAAAAATTGTACATAAAAATCATGAAGCGAAATAGGGTATCGATAACTGAAAAAAGAGTAGCAGGAATAAAGAAAAATCAAACCTCGTCGCAACGGAAAGCAACACTACCAAATCCGAAAAAGATGAGAAAGAATATTTCAGTGAACATGGTCAATACAAAAGACGTAAAAGAACATAAGGTCAAGGAGAAAGCTATGGAAGAACCAACTGTGTCAGTTAGAGAAATCGATCTTGAGAGTGTTGACGGGGGTGGAAAGGAAAACCACGGAATCAACACCCATTCCAAATGCAGAAGAACAAGAAAAGAAAACGATAGAGTTCTCACCAATTGACATTGTGGACGATCCAACAAGCAACACGCCGGAAACGATAAAAAAAACTATTCTCAAACAAAAGAACGTCGTTCACAGAGAGGATTGCAGCGATGGTCGGGATGAAACCGAAAGAGAAAGAGGACGTAATGCCGACGACAGAGAAATGCAAAACATTTGGAACAGTTTCCGCAACTACAACGAAGGCCAACCAAGACGAAGAGCAGGTCATCGATGGAGCAACGGCTAACCAAGAAAAAACAATTTCGCTTGAGCTGGGCGACTCGATGGCAAAGTTGGAGCAAATCGAGAAGAAACTGAAATACAGCGAGAAGGACCGCCAAGAAATAAAAAGCGAGACACGACACAACTTAAGGCGAAGTGTCCTAGGAGGGTTCAGAAACCTCCTGGGACAGAACGAAGTGTCCCAACACTTGAGCGAAGGGTCCTAGGAGGGTTCGGAAAAGGCCTAGGACAGTACGAAGTGTCCCAAAACTTAAAGCGAAGTGTTCAAGGAGGGTTCAGAAAAGCCCTGGGACAGTAACGAAGTGTCCCTACACTCAAGCGAAATCTCCTAGGAGGGTGTAGAGAAGCCCTGGGACACTACCATGTGTCCCAACACTTAAGGCGAAGTGTCCTAGGAGTGTTCAGAAAAATCCTGGGAAAGTATTAAAGCATCCCAAAACTAGAACGAAGATTTAGATGAAACCTTCGTTCTCAGCATCCCAAAAGTAGAAATTGATTTAGATTCAAAACTGTTTTAGACTGAATTCGACTGTTTTTAGCTTTTAATGCATTTAAAAAAATTATAATTGCAATTGGAATTTACAATAGGGACTTGTAAATAACAAATTTGTAAATAAAAAAAATTGTACATAAAAATCATGAAGCGAAATAGAGTATCGATAACTGAAACAACAGTAGCAGGAATAAAGCAAAATCAAACCTCGTCGCAACGGAAAGCAACACTACCAAATCCGAAAAAGATGAGAAAGAATATTTCAGTGAACATGGTCTATACAAAAGGCGTAAAAGAACATAAGGTCAAGGAGAAAGCTATGGAAGAACCAACTGTGTCAGTCAGAGAAATCGATCTTGAGACACCAGATCAGAGTACTGACGGATTGGAAAGGAAAACCACGAAACCAACACCAATGTCAAATGCAGAAGAACAAGAAAATAAAACGATAGAGTTCTCACCAATTGACATTGTGGACGATCCAACAAGCAACACGCCGGAAATGATAAAAGACGATTCTCAAACAAAAAGAACGTCGTTCACAGAGACGATTGCAGCGATGGTCGGGATGAAACCAAAAGAGAAAGAGGATGTAACGCCGACGACAGAGAAATTCAAAACTTTTGGAACAATTTCCGCAACTACAACAGAGGCCAACCAAGACGAAGAGCAGGTCACACATGGAGCAACGGCTTACCAAGAAAAAACAATTTCGCTTGAGCTGGGCGACTTGATGGAAAAATTGGAGCAAATCGACAAGAAACTGAAATACAGCGAGGAGGACCGCCAAGATCTAAAAAAGGAGATACGACACAACGAGAATGAGAACCTAGACAACTGCTTTAACCTGGCAAGGGCGACGGAAGAGAAGCTACAGCAGATGTCAGACAAGGTAGAGGCTACCGACAAAGAGCGAGAGAAGCTTATCAAGAAGGAAATGGAAGAAATGAAGAAACGGTACGACACCGTGAACGAGAAGTTGTGGAATCTAGATACTAGAATGGATGCAATGGGCAAGGAACAAGCTGAAAGTTCTTGTGCCATACAGTCCAAACTGGATGCACTCTTGAGAAACTCATTGGCCCAAGATAAATTATTGGTGGAAAATCCATCCGGAACTAGATTCGTGGAACCACAACGAACGAAACGAGAATCTACACCGTTAGCACGAACTGATAGTACCATGAAAGTGGGAGTCTCAAATACAACAAGGGCAACAGAGGACTCAGGATCAAATACGGGTGTACAACCGGATGCCATGCCATGGGCCAATACCTGGGAAATGATGAACAGGACGCTTGAAGCATTCGCAACAAGGAACACAGACTCAGGTGACAGAGGAAGTGGCAAATTTCGG